GAAGAGAGAGAGAGAGAGAGAGAGAGAGAGAGAGAGAGAGAGAGAGAGAGAGAGAGAGAAATCATTTCGTTAGAGACAGAGAGAGAGAAAGAGACACCTACGAAAAGTTGACAACTACAGGGACATTTTGCAAAGTTCGCCGGTGTCTGCTATGGATACATTGCGAAGATGGGGTCCAACTGATGTCTGGGGTGTTTTGCAAAATGTTTTTGTCATCGTCCTTCGCCGCAGAGTAGCTGCAGCAGGTCCACCTGTATCTGATAATTTGTCCTCCTTTCAACCCCTTTGGAATATCTAATAATTTTGTCCTCCTCGACAGGCAGATCACAACTTCACAAAGATTTGCTTCTTTTGGTATTTTGTTACCTCAATGCTCATTCCCCAAGCGGGGAGGGTCAGCAGGGGATAGGTCAACATATAGTGTCGACTCTCGGTGACCAGCCTTTGGTCTCTCGGTTACGATGGCCCAGATTGACCCGCAGTCGATGGCCTGGATCTTGTATAGTTGCAGATTCCCACTTGGACTAGATTCTTGACAGATACCTACAAACAGCCAAGCGTGTGTGTCTGATCGGTGGCCTGGACTGGGTCCATGTTGACTTTGACTTGTGAGCCTGAATTTCTGAGCTGCTGTTGACCTTTGACTTTCCACGGTCAGCTGTCGCACGTAGGGCCTCTGAAGCCCAGTTTAGGCCATGCTTCGGGTACCCACAGCAGCAGGCCTTGGTTCAGGCAATTTTCCATGACTCGGGTGTGGCCTTTGGCACCTGATTCGGCCCTTAGACCGAAGTGACAACCTATGGCTCACGACTATTTCATGTTTCAAGCTGAATTATTGCATTCCATCAGGCCCAATTTCGAGTTCCGTCGCAGAAACTATTACTTTAGGCATGGTTTCCTTTTAACTCGCGCTCATATGCATGGACAATATCGGGTGCAGTAGGTATAAGTTCTTTCTTAGAGAACCATCTTGATTCTGAAAGAGGTTGAGTCTTGAACTTTGCCTTATTCTGCTTTGGAGGTCTTTCCCTGACAACTGTAGAGAAGTATCCATGTTCCAGGATTCGTTGAACTTCATAGCCTCCGTTCATAGAGGGTGGAATCATGGATGGTTGGTTGGGAAACTCGTGGTCTTTAACATAGTGTAGCAATTTGGAAGCATGAAAGACAGGGTATGTCTTGAGGTGAGGGGGAACGTCAATTTGATATGACGGACC